AAGAAAACGGAAGACAACCATCAAAATGGATCGAAGAATAACCAGAATGGCAAAGGCCCAGCCAATGATCAGCTCCAGGATGATCAAAGACAGTCTGGAGTTACCTGTAAGTACTGTGACAGTTAGAAGACGTCTGTGTGAAGCTAATCTATTTTCAAGAATCCCCCGCAAAGTCCCTCTGTTAAAAAAAAGGCACGTGCAGAAGAGGTTACAATTTGCCAAAGAACACGTCAACTGGCCTAAAGAGAAATGGAGGAACATTTTGTGGACTGATGAGAGTAAAATTGTTCTTTTTGGGTCCAAGGGCTACAGACAGTTTGTGAGACGACCCCCAAACTCTGAATTCAAGCCACAGTACACAGTGAAGACAGTGAAGCATGGTGGTGCAAGCATCATGATATGGGCATGTTTCTCCTACTATGGTGTTGGGCCTATTTATCGCATACCAGGGATCATGGATCAGTTTGCATATGTCAAAATACTTGATGAGGTCATGTTGCCTTATGCTGAAGAGGACATGCCCTTGAAATGGTTGTTTCAACAAGACAATGACCCCAAACACACTAGTAAACGAGCAAAGTGTTGGTTCCAAACCAACAAAATTAATGTTATGGAGTGGCCAGCCCAATCCCCGGACCTTAATCCAATCGAGAACTTGTGGGGTGATATCAAAAATGCTGTTTCTGAAGCAAAACCAAGAAATGTAAATGAATTGTGGAATGTTGTTAAAGAATCATGGAGTGGAATAACAGCTGAAAGGTGCCACAAGTTGGTTGACTCCATGCCACACAGATGTGAAGCAGTTATAAAAAACTGTGGTCATACAACTAAATATTAGTTTAGTGATTCACAGGATTGCTAAATCCTAGAAACAAAAACGTTTGTACAAAATAGTTTTGAGTTTGTACAGTCAACGGCAGACACTGCTATTTTTTTGAACACACCCCTTTCAACTGATTGCCCAATTGCACAGCCTTAAGAGCGTGCATATCATGAATGCTGGGTCTTGTTTGTTTTCTGAGAATCTACTGCACCTACTGGTAACTTGTTTGCCATGTAGCAATGAAAAATATACTAAAAACCTGGATTATTCTGGTTAGTCACATTGTACTGCTATTATTTTGAACAATACTGTACCTACTCTACCACCATCTTCAACCTCTCCCTCAGCCAGAGCATCATTCCCACCTGCTTTAAGACCACAACCATCATCCCCCTTCCCAAGAACAGCCTAGTCACCTGCCTGAAGGACTACAGGCCAGTGGCACTCACCCCAATCATTATGAAGTGTTTTGAGAAAGTGATGCTAACCCACATCCAGAGCAGTATACCAGACACCCTTGACCCACTGCAGTATGCCTACTGGCCCAACAGGGCCGCCTCAGATGCCATCACAGCTGCCCTCCACTATTCCCTTTCTCACCTGGAAAATGGAGACTCTTACATCAGGATACTCTTCATTGACTACAGCTCTGCCTTCAAACAGTTATCCCCCACAAACTGTCCACACTGGGTCTGCACCCCACCCTCTGTAACTAGCTCCTGGACTTTCTGACTGTCAGGACTGGCTATAGGACTTCAGCCAGCATTATTATGAACACTGGCACCCCACAGGAATGTGTCCTTGGTCCCATCCTCTACACCCTGTTCACCCAGAACTATGTCTCCTCTCACAAAGACAACATCATCCTAAAGTTCGTGGATGACACTGCAGTGATAGGTCGCATCACTGCTGCAGACAAAGCAGCCTACAGGAGGGAGGTGGCCGATCTGGTGTCATGGTGCAAGGACAATAATCTCACACTCAGCAGTGGACATGAGGAAGGAGCGGAGAATTCATCTGGGGGGATGAAGAGGGTGAGCAGCTTCAAGTACCTGGGTGTCCACATCAGTGAAGACCTCACTTGGACACTCAACACCACACAGCTGGCCAAGCAGGCCCAACACAGACACAACACAGGCCCTTCCTTGCGGAGGTTGATGAGGTTTGGCATGTCGCCTAGGTTCCTTTGCAACTCCTACAGCTGCATCATTGAGAGCATCTGGACCAGCTGCATCACTGTCTGGTATGGCAGCACTACTGCTATGGGCCGCAAGCACCTGCAGAGAGTGGTAAAGACTGCGGAAAAGATCACCAGGACTCCACTGGGCCTCTCTGCAGAGCATTTACCACTGCAGGGTGTGTAGGAAAGCTGCCTCCATCCTGAATAAACCCACCCACCCCCAGCATGGACTGTTGGCCGGAGGTTCAGAAGTGTGAAATGCAGGACCTCCAGACTGAAAAACTCTTTCTTTCCAACTGTCATCAGACTCCTAAACAGCTGACAGGAGTTAGAAAGGCTATAAAACATGTAGTGTCAAAAGTTTCCTTGATGACAATAATAATAATAATAATAAGGTCTAGACTCTAGACCTTACTTTGTAAAGTGTCTTGAAATGACTTTTGTTGTTAAGTAAAAATGAATTGAATTCCTCTGCTATTGGAAATAGTATTATCCAAATTAAAATAATGGTCCACATTTACTATTATTGCCAATGCAGTAGAATGAAAACTCTCTATATTTCCCTTAAACAGTTTTACAAGCATCTGCACTTGAAGTTAAACCTGCTATGTTGCATTTATATTGTGAACAGATCTGCCGTTCTGTAATGTTACAGGTTGTATACATTTAGGCCTACACATAGCCCCCAGTTAAGGGGCCTTTGTGCCCTCTGAAAATGCATGAGATTGGGTAATCGCCAATTAGTCAGGAGCTGACACTCTCAAAAGGTGGCCCTGCCTGTCTAATTGGTGGCACTGTGTATTGTTGCCTGTTCTGCTCTAATGACCCTGAGGGTGTAATATATCATACTCATATAAAATTATACTCACACAATCATCCATCAGTGGCATAAAACACAAGCTATTTGTTTCAAGTAACGGCTTTACATTATGGTATAGGCTACACTCCTGTGAATGATTAGGTTCATTGTTGATGGCTTGCAGTCTTCCTTTAGGTCTTTGCATTGACAGAGTGCCTTACTAATTTCTCAGCAAAACAGTGTCAATATTGCACCCAGACATACAATAGTGAAACTTTGCTGTTACTCAGCAGTCTTACCTTGTTTGAATGCATTTTACATTCATTTATAGGCTATAAAAAAGTTTCAATTTCAAGTTGCCTCTGTAATAAAAATTAAAATACAAACTAATTGTATCTACATAAGTTAAATAGAAGAACACCCTAATGATTTTTCTTTGAAGCTTTACTGTTAGTCCCTGACTCTTAAGTAAAATGTGCTAAAATGCTTAAAAAAAATTTTAAACCACCAAAATATAAAGTAAAATAACTACAGACATACAGATAATTAAATGTGTTTATTTAAAACAGTTTTGGCAATAATTCTAATGAAAAAATATTTTAAACACATTATTGCTTTATATGATTAGCATTTTCTTTTTTCATTGTGTGTCTTTTGTTTGTATATGCAAGATAGAAGGAAACCTAGATAAAACAAAATTACATAAAAAATATGGCGAGATTTCAGCATGTATTTTGGGTATATTATGAGTAGACTTGTGTGATAACCATGCCAGTCTTTGCAATGTTTAATTAGAGGGTGCCTGACTTTTCCCCAGGGAGCAGGGGTGTAGAGGGAGGGAGGGACACACCTGCCACCTCTATGTTTCACGCCCAGGCAGCCGAGCACCCACAACAAAAGGAGATGCAAACTGTCACCGCTCGATCGCGGAGATAGTGTGTCAAGCTCGCAGGGAGGAGCGGGACAACCACTGGAATATTGTTAATTTTGCCTTCAAAATAAGAGACGAGACAGAGCTTCATGCTCTGGGCTGAAGACCTTATTCAAAAGTACCCTGTGTAGTGCACATACCCTAGTCAGTGACAATAGTAAAATCACTGATTGTTGCTGTAGAAGTGCTGTGGATGTTTTTAAAGGTAATACTACAGACAGGCCCATATGGTAAAAATGCATTTAAAATTTAAGATCATAAAAGTGATCCACCGACATTTGACCTCAAAGCTTCATTGCTCCACTCCATCCACTTGGGGGAAGACAACCCCTAGCAACACTACCTTGGCTGACGATTCTCTGGATATTTAATTTCATTTAGTTCAAACATATTTTTTAATATGTTTGAACTTCCTGGCAGGACCAGTACTCTTTTAACATTTAAAGCTGCATTATGCAGCTCAAACACAGTTCAAACACATGGGCATGTATATAAGGTTATATGACAACGTTTAATTTTGTAATACGGAGACAGGAAGTACTTTTATTTTATTTTTGCATACTTGACACTGGGAAAAGAAGACCAGAAGGTGATCGGCAGAAAGGAGGGATGCGGACAACAGGAATAAATTAGGGAGGGAGAGAGAGAGAGAGAGGGGGGGGCGGGCTGGCCCGTCCTTGACTATTTCACTCATAGCGGACATTACGCACAGAGGAGGAAGACAGAGGAATAGGAGGACAGCTTTGTTAAAAGAGCCCGGGTGGCTTCTAACGGAACTGGTTTCACCGACGCAGCATCACCTCGCCTCCTGCGCATTATCCACGGCAACGACTACTTCCATTCATCAAGGTAAACAAACCCACTCCTTTCACCTTTATCGTTTCCCTTATCTTAGTAAAATATTTCTCCCGCTCTTAGTGCATAAAAACAATAAAAGGGTTTTGGGATGGTGTTGAAAGCTGGTTTTGGCATATGGCTATCCTGCATATTAGTAGTTTTTGACGCAATAGCACAAGTGTGCGTTGGAGGAGCCTACAGAACAGTTAACCCTACAAAACCAGCTTATTATAACAAGGTGATGAACGTTAAGCCAAACGTCTTTCAAAGTCTGGTAATTTATTGTCCCCATAAATGGGGGAGGGAGAGAGAGAAGGAGGGGGGGGGGCGGGCTGGCCCGTCCTTGACTATTTCACTCATAGCGGACATTACGCACAGAGGAGGAAGACAGAGGAATAGGAGGACAGCTTTGTTAAAAGAGCCCGGGTGGCTTCTAACGGAACTGGTTTCACCGACGCAGCATCACCTCGCCTCCTGCGCATTATCCACGGCAACGACTACTTCCATTCATCAAGGTAAACAAACCCACTCCTTTCACCTTTATCGTTTCCCTTATCTTAGTAAAATATTTCTCCCGCTCTTAGTGCATAAAAACAATAAAAGGGTTTTGGGATGGTGTTGAAAGCTGGTTTTGGCATATGGCTATCCTGCATATTAGTAGTTTTTGACGCAATAGCACAAGTGTGCGTTGGAGGAGCCTACAGAGCAGTTAACCCTACAAAACCAGCTTATTATAACAAGGTGATGAACGTTAAGCCAAACGTCTTTCAAAGTCTGGTAATTTATTGTCCCCTTGAATTTCGGTAAGCGAACGAGGCATTCATGTTGCCCCTAACGTGATTTGGAAGCTGAAAACATTATGGGATACTGTGCTGTAGTTAGTTTATAATAATAGTGTGACGACCGCTGGCTCGGTTGAGAGGAGCTGGCCTGACTCTGTCCTATACTTGACAGTTAACTAGCCAGCAGTGTGCAGGCACCTGGCTCAACAAGGAGGAGAACACCTGGTTTGTCTTTTGGTGGTTTTATTGAATGCAGTATGGAGACAATGAAAACGCTGTCCAAACTGGCACCATGTACTCTCTAAAGAAAATAATGAAAGAATAAACAACACATAGAACTTCACCATCCCCCGCCAACAGAACCAAACCAACACGCCCACCTGTCATCCCTCTTATACCCTCCCGCACCTGTTCCTCCCCCCATCCCACATTGGCCAGAACAGCGCGGCAT